TGTGTGTGTGTGTGTGTGTGTGTGTGTGTGTGTGTGCAAGTTGCTAAGATTACAGGTATTAGTAGAGAGCATCATACTGTTCAAGGAAAAGTGAGAGAGAGATGGACGATAGATGTTTGATAGGAAGAAAGGAGCAAACCCCATCAGAACACCCACCAACTAACCACACCCTTGCTAATTTGGCTTTGCATTAACACGTGCTAGTGAAAAATAGCTGTCGTCTAAGTGTCTATTTTTTTCTCCCTTTTTTTCTCCTTTTTTTCCCCTTGGTCTTTCTGAGGTACAACCTACAAAACAAATACAATGTAGGTCTTACGTGTAGTAATCCTATTGCATTTAGCAGCGAATGACTACTTCAGCCAATGAGCAAATATATATGGCTTGTTTCATTTACACCATTGTTCGTAACATAGGTCGTAACCCTTTAGCTGGATGTATCAGATATGTTATGGCGAGTGCGTTGGGAAGGAGTGAATCTTATGCTCTGATTATGTTTGCCTACAAAGATTATTTATTAAAAACCCGCCTCTTCCCAGAGAGCGGATATTAACATGTTCTTATGCAAAGTAGATTTGTAAATGGACTGATTTATCAATGTCATGCCCATACTCTGCCGGAACAACACAGGGGGGACTGCGGCTTTTTCTTTCTTCATCCTTACTATCGTCATTTTTTATTCTACTTCTTTTCTATGATTGTCCCTCTCTTGTGAACTGCTTTTTCTGGGGTGCCTGGATAGTCGAAGCAGACTCTGAGTTGTTGAGGCTAGGGAGGTGAGGAGAGTAAGCCTGATTCTTCGTTTGGACTTCTCTGTTGACATCCACCCTTTGGCGCTCATTCGACCGTATGCAGTTGCGAGCGCCGTAAAACTTTACTAATACATGTACATGATACAAACCACATCTGCTGACACGTGTCTATTTGTGCATGAAAGGTAGATAATAACTGCTATGTTTCAGGTTGATTGATAAATCATTGGAATTTTGAGATTTGTCACTCGTCTATTTTAACCTGTCATTGTATATTCTCGTTACATGTAGGCAGCGAACTACATGTACTTTCGCAGGATCTTTCCTTTCTGACGTCTGAAAGTCTTTTGCTGGCCATTCAGCATACCCGAAGAGAAGACTTATGTTCATCACACTTCCGCCGAATTGACAGCCGAAGTATTTAGAACAGTGATTCTCAATCTTTGAGGAATGAAGGGGAAAATGTGTGTGGGTGTGTGTTTGTGTGTGTGTGTGTGTGTGGGGGTTTTTTTTCAAATTCTGTGAATAGCATCATTCACTTCTTTCGAAACACCGCTTCTCATAGAGAACACAGCTTTAAGGAATGGAATAAGGAATTTT